TACAGATCTGACAATAAAAAAAAAGGTATGATTTTGATTTATTCACACCGGACAGCTGTCGTTGTGTTGGTTGTCATTTTTAAAAAAAATTTGACAACCTAAGGGAAAAGAGGTCAGTGCCCCTAAGTAGTCAGGTATTGCAGATTTAAGAAAATCCTTGTGACGCACCGGGTGGACGTCGCTGCCCAAAACCAAACAGAGAGCTGCGGGCATCAGACGGTAAGCTTCGGGGAACCAGCCAGCTCTGGTACCAACGTGGAGAAATGTGCGCTGTGATTGAACGACTGAACGGTGAACAGCTGAGCAGGTTCCTGGCAAGACAGCAGGTACGGAGTCACCTGCAGACAAGGCTAGGAGCCCAGCAGGTGTCCCTGCCTGCCACCACTGTGTGGCTGTGGGCATGCCCTGGCCCTTGCTGGGCCTGGGCTTCCTTGAGTTGGAATCTGGATGGTAGACGCTGATGTCCCCTGGGGAAGCTGGGGATGGCGGCAGGGGCGGGCATGGGGAGGGGGGTGTTGAGGGGCATGGAGTGGGTGGGAAGGAGAAACAAACGTAGGATGAGCGTGTTTCTGGTCACCTCCACCTGACTGCTTCAGCCAAAGCAGCCACATCCTCAGCCGCACCCCCGAGTGGATTTTCCTGTATGATTTCACCTGGAGAAAGCGTTTGCTGCTAAAACAAAGTCTGAAAGCCAGATGACCCTCCCAGCCCCCAGCTTGCTTCCAGCCCTGATCTTTCCCTAACATTCACCTGCCACAGTCCCTTGGTTTTTGCCTTGATAACTTTCTGGTCTGTTAGAAATCTGAAGAAGGTAATAACGTGTCTGTGTGTTTTCATTCTTTTACAAAATCACTGCTTAATTTGGGACATAAATTAAACTTGCTTCGCCCACGTGACCTAGAAGTGGGCTGGCGTGCAGGGCCGAGAGGCTGGCGCAGCGCGCGGTTTCCGCACACGCCCGGCCCTCTCCTCTGAACGGCGGGGCTTACAGCCGTCAGGCAAAAATAGCTTTGTGCGGCTTCCGCCAGGAAGACGCTTAAAAAGGGAAAAAGGACTCATTTGCTAAAAAAGAAAAAGGATCCCAAGTTGCGACCATAATTTCAGAATTCATTTTTGCACACATTTCTGTATCAGGGGACAGGAAAGCATTCTCAGCCTCTGATTCAGCCATTCCACGCCGGGCACTTGCCCTGAACAAGCAAACCTAACTTTATAAAAAGCTCAGGGGACACAGCTGTCCTCGGCAGTGCCGTGGGCGAAAGGAAAGCAGTGAGGCCGGAGAAGGCACTCAGGGCCGAGGGCGAAGGTTTCGGAGCCTCCCGCAAGTCCGGAGGCTCCCCAGCCGCCCACAGCTCATTCACCGGTGTGTCCGCTGGCCTCTGACCACGTGTTCCCACTGGGCGCCGCGCGGGCCATCAGAGGCAGGGAGCTCGTGGGCACGGAGGCTCCAGCACGCTTACAACTCAACGTGACAAGTACGATGAGCAGGGACACAGAGCAGGGATCAGGTCCCAGACCGGGTACTCAGAGAAGGCTTTCTGGAGGAAGCGACTTCTCAGCTGAGCCGTGAATATGGTGGTCATCGGCAGGGGAAGATGGGAGGCACGGTGTTAGGGCAGAGGGCGCACGTGGAGACTGGGCGGTGGCGGAGAGCGGGCTGCAGTGTCCGGAGGGACAGCTCGGCAGGGATGCGGAGAGAGGGTTGGAGGAGCAGGAGCCCCCTGAACAGGCTGCGTGTGCCACGTGAGGGAGTGTTCCTTACCAGCCATATCAGTGTTTTAAGCAGGAGAGCGACATGTTTAGAAAGCTCACTCCACTGCCAGCGAGGTCCGTGGAGCAAGGCCAGTGTGGCTGCAGCCAGGTCGGCGGTGATGGCTGGCGGCCAGGGCGGAGGCAGCGCTGGCGGGGAGACGGACGACAGGGACACAGGCCACGGCGACAGCTCCCCGGGCGTGGGAGAGGCAGGATGGTGCAATGGCCAGTGAGAACCCTGAAAGCTGACTCCATGGGTCCCCACCCAACTTCCCCTCTGGGTGGCCCTCAGCAAGTTAAGGATCAGGGTGAGGAGCCACCTCCTAGGAATCGCCACGTGTCAGGCGCTTCCGCGGTGCCCGGCGTGGGGTTGGGGCTGCTGTTAGAGTTACTGTTATTGGTGGCTTGTTGGTTTGGAGCAGGAGACTGAGGCAGGCGGCCATCCAGGTGCGAGGTGAGGAAGCGGAGTTGGAAGCGGGACTTGGGCCTTAGTGGGTTGAAGCGGCGACGAAGACCCTGGGAGCAGAGACAGCCCGGAGCGGGGGCAGGGGCGGCAGGGCAGGGGCCCGGGGAGGCCTGCAGGGCACAGAGGGGTGACGGACAGAGCCGGGAGGTTGTTTTTACAGGAAGGAGGTGAACCTGCTTAAATGCTGGCGGCAGGAAGCTCGGCAGCACATGGTGAGGACAAATGCCCCCGGTGGGGTGGCCTTCACGGTGTTTTCTTGCTCGTCCTCACGGTGAGAGGACTGGGGCTGGACGAGAAGCGATGGTATTTACCACGGCCGCACGTCGCGCGGCCAGCAGGAGTTATTTATAACGAGGTTATGACGACACGAAAAAACGCTGCTAGAGTTATAGGGAAAAAGCAACATAAAGCATGGCATGTGCAATATGCCAACTGGAGAAACGCACCCAGAAATGTACGTATGGAAAAAAGGGCGCTGAGAAGGAATGGTGCTATTTCTGGGTGGTTGGGGACAGGGCAGGGCTTCCTTCTGAATTCGCCATAATGAGTGTATTTTAGCGTTTGCAGGAAGACGCCCAGAAAACTTCATTTTGTAAAAAGAAACTAGGGTGGCCAGAGGCTCCCCCTGCCAAGGTCACAGTGACCTTGGGAAAATCCGCGTTCTGCAGGGACTGCGGTGTCTGTGTCCACAGGGAGAGGGCACTAACTAAAAGCGCGTCCCCCGCTGTGGGTTTCCGGAGGCTCCGCCTTGCAGAGATGTCCCAGGAAGGAGCGGCCGCGAGGTCAGACGGCCTTGGGAATCCCATGCGCTCATGAACTATTCATCCTCAGAATAAAAAGAACTGCTCAAACCTGTCCAACTCTCAGACGCAAGGTCTGGTGACAGCCTGTGGAATCGTGTTCCACGGGACACTCTGGGAAGTGCTCCCCCAGGCCGCCCCCCAAGTTCCCCCGAAGCCCCCCCTCTCAACAAGGCCTTCAGATGACCATCCCTGTGGTGGAGCGGGCAGAGCCCCCTGGGGGCCCGCGGCAGGAAGGGACGGCGGGGGCTCCTGGGCCACTCTCCTGCACTCCAGGCCCCCCTCCCCGCTCTGCTGTCCTGAGCACACAGGGCCCTTCCCAGCCTCTGCTCCAGCTGGTGCCAGGGCTCCAGAGATGCCGCCGCCCCGGACAGAGATGGGAGGAGTGAACATACCGGCGGCGGGAAGAGCCTCGCCTGCAGCGGCCTGAGTTTCTGAAAGTCACCTTTCACATCACCTCATGCCACGGACCCGCAGTGGCTGAAGGAGGGGACGAGCAGCCCTTGATGAATACACACAAGGTAGCCCTGGGCTGCGAAGTGTTTCAGTTGCATGTGGCCAAGTGGGAAGAGAGCAAGGCTGGCTTACATAACACCCTTCTCCCATTATTGATCTTAAAAAAGAGAAGTAAAAGTAGAACTTACAAGAATGGGTCCCTTTTCCTTCCCTGATCTAGTTATCCCTTCAGCTGTCATTTTTAAAATGATTTTTTTTGCAAATCTGATGTACGTGTACACTCCGCAGGCAAATTAGAGTCCCCAGGTGAAGGAAAGAATCTGTATGAGACAGAATATCGTGTGAATCATCTCTAATTTCAAATATTTTAATTTATATACTTTCATGATTATAGGTCAATAAGAAATCCCCATTTCAGATTTTATTTCATTACAGAATATATTTGATAAGGATACATACAAACAGAGTCGCCTTTAATACACACTGTTTCCCGGTGCCCTGCCCCCACAGCGGCCTGGCGATGTCATGAAAAAGCTTCCCAGCGTCGCGTTGAGTCGGCCTCTGAGCAACCAGGGCCGCGGAGTTCCGAGAGTTCAATGCACTTGCTTGCTTGGAACAAGTAAAAATCTTAATATTTGTTTTTAGGTCTGTTTATTACTCTTCTGTTTTAAAATCTGAGATACATTCCCCAGTGTAAACAGTACATTTCAGTCTGTCACACAATCAAAATGGATAAGGCCTTCTTGACGAGTGGGTGCCGCCTACGTTTTGCTCACCAGAACGCAGCCTCGCTTCGAAGCGAAGCATGCGCCCAGGCACGGAGGCTGGGACGGGGCTGCCAGGGACCCCGCACCGCCTGCCTGCCTCTCCCCGCTGCAGGCGTGTGGTATCTTTTTGACTTGGTCTACTTGGTCTTAAAATACAAATATACAATGTCCATAAGCATAAAATAGTAAAGCCTAGCCTTACGTATTTATTATGAATCACTAAAATCCTATACAAGTACAATACCATATCATGCCAATTAATACACAGAGGGAGGCGGCCAAATGTCTCCATTCAGGGGCCCGTGAACGGGGACCCGAGGGGCGCCGTCCACGAGGGTGCCCAGCAGCTGAGCGCACGGCGAGGCAGGCGGTCTCACTGAGGCTCTGGAACGCCTGAGTCCCCTGCGGAAATGCCAGGGTGCCCCCTTCCCAGCAGCCTCCCAGAGAACTGAATGAAACCTCGGACAACGTAACCAGATAGAGCCGTAGCTGCATTTCCTGACTCAGCTGTGCAATCAGTTCTTCGCTCACTCAGTTCATCCCTTTAGGGCCAAGTAATCAACAGTGATCATGATTCAGTACCTCATCGTTATCTTAAATATTCGGCTTAGCAACCTCGATGGTGACAGAGGCTAGCCTATGTGCAGGATTTGGAAAGGCATTCTGAGACCGAGTTCGAAGAGTTCATAGAAAAGTTACGAAGGATATACCAGTCACCCTGCTGATGTCACTGTAGTGTAAACCCTGGCATTTTCTTTCTTTTTTTTTTTACATTAACTGTTTTATTTATTGTACAACAGAGAGACCTGAACTGCTGACCCGACGTGGTGCTCGCTGATTCGCTAAGCTAAGGTAACCGGTACAGGGAGTGGTTTCCTGAGGTTTGTGAGGACTTTGCAGATGAAACAGAAATCACAGTGACTGAGCGACCGAGCCGGTGCTTCCCGGGCTGCTCTGCTCCGCGGCCCCGCCGGCACTACACGACCCGCCACTGCATGATACTCGTGTCTTTGCCGCCGGTGGAGATGAGGTGGCTGTCGTCGCAGAGGAACTCGACGTTGGTGACGTGGCTGCTGTGTCCGCTGTACACGTGGCTGGGAGCCTGGAAGTGGCCACGGAGGAAGCTTAGTGCCCAGTGCACGGCCGGGGGCTGGAGGCTGGGGTTCTGCAGCGTTCTGCCACCTGGCCGCCCTCCCACCCGGCCGCCCTCCTGCGTGCGGCGCTCTGTGCACGGGTCCGGCCAGGCGCAGCCACGGGCAAGTGGCTGCCCTGGGCGGGTATGTTCAGTCGCAGAGGGACCAGGGGTGGAGGATGAGGGGTGTCCTGTGGAGGAGGGTCAGGATAGGGAAGGACCAGGAGGGGCGTGCCAGGCACTGGTGCTGGTTCAGCGCAGGGGGCTGGAGTGGAGGGGACAGGGGTGGGACCCACGGAGGAAGCCACAGAGGTAGGGGAGCCAGATAAGGGCTTCATAGGGTTGGGGTTTCCTGGAGGGCGGTGGGGAGCCCCAGGGTCACATCTGTACCTGTGACGGGTGGCATTCGCTCATGCGCCTTTTATTTAATCACCAAACAGCCCGGGCAGGCCGTAAACGCATCCCCACGCGGGGTGAGGCTCGCGATGGCGAGTCCTTACCCGGAACTGCGAGCAAGGGTAGGAGAAGAGGTGCACTTTGCCGAAGTCATCGCCCGTTGACAGGAGTTTTTTCTCGTGGGCCCTGCAAACGGCATTGATGTCGGTTCCGTCCGAGCCTTCCGGCCACACTCCTGGAAAAAAGACCACAGACAGAGGCCTGGAAACACCAGAAACACTGGGCCACGCTGTGTAGGGGCTGCATTAAACTCTGACCAAAACAAAGTCTCCCAAGCCCTGGGCTTCAAAACCAGGGCCAGGAGCTTGCCCTGAGTTGCTCCCGGCCTCTCCGTTCCCGAGAGCATCTCGCTCCAGGCCGGTCCCAGGGACCCCTTCAAGGCTAAGCCCTGTTCGTCCACGACAGGAGCCGCGACAGGAGCCACGACAGGCTTGCAGGGCCCCATCCTTTTGGGCCCCTTCTTGACAATAAAGCAGAAAGTGCACCAGAAACCCTGGCTCTGGACCCGATGCCTTCCCTTTGTCCCAAAGCATCTGATGGGGAGCTGGCTAGTCAAGTGTGCTGTCTCCTAACTTTTCTCTTTTCCAGGTAACTCTTTACATGTGAGAGTCCCTCCAAAGAGCTTTTTAACCCTGGGTCTGAGTGTGCCTTTCAGGCATTTCTTGGTGTCAGCTCTTGGCGGCTGCTGCTCGCTTTGGGACGCCGGCAGGTGTAGGGTCGCCGGCCGTGGGCCAGGCGAAGCCGCAGCCCTGCCCCAGGCCTGAGGCTGACTCTGAGGGTGGCGTCCCTGACCACCGCTCCAGGAGCCCTCTTGGCCGCAGCGGAAGGTCTGGGAGAGTGGGACGTGCATCGGTCTCTCCAGAAGTCCTGGAGTAAACCTGGGATCCTCACGTTTAGTATCAGAAAATGATAAAAACACCAGCTCTAAGGAGATTTGTGAAATTCTGATCAAATTATTGACCTATGATCTTACAGACAGAGATGATAAATATTTCTTTTATCCCCCTACACTGTAGCAATTTACTTTAGATCATTTGTGAATATATTCCTAATCTGAACTTTGAAAAAAGTGAAAATTTTAGTTTAAGGACCCAAAAGATGTAGTAATAACTCTAACAAATCATGTGTGTATTGACTGAGTACCATCTATTGAGGAAGCGTGGCACAACCTCAAGTGAGAAGATTCTAGAGAATTATCCCAGGACCCATTTCATCCAAGCGAAGAGGGTTCGAGCCTGGGTCCTGGCTCTGGGGCGCGCCCCCCGAGCTGCAGGGAGTGTGGCCGGTGGGCTTCACGTGGCAGCACAGCACTTTGACAAAGCTGGTGACCGCGACACTTTTCACCTGTTGGAGAAAACTCTAAAAGCAGCTGCACCTTACGGCTGAGCCACGTGGAGGCTGCGGAAACGTACCAAAGACATGGAATCCCAAAGTGCACGTGTACGTAGCCCATTCGATGTCCCTCGTAGCTTCCACGCTGACAACTTGCTTACAAGCAGAGGGAACCCCTGGAAAAAGCAAACGCAGGGCTGCTGACACCTGAGCAGGTGTCCCCTCTCCTCCAGGGGCGGGCTGGGCCCTCAGGGCCTCAACAGCTGGAGAGCCCTCAGGAAACGGGCAGGGCCCCGCTCGGGCCCTGGGAACTGAGCTCACAGCCTGAGCCCAGCCCAGGGCTGGGGAGGGGTCCACCTCATCCCAGCTTTCCTTGCAGCTTCCTCTCTGGGTCGGTACCCGGCCCGTCCTCCCCCCTGGCCCCTGGCTTCTTTTTTCTTTGACCATCTGATTCTTAGGCCTCTAACTGCTCCCTGTCCCCCGGAGCCTCTCAACACACCTCAGGCCCCCTTCCCCACATTCACAGTCACACAGGCCTGGATCCGCCCCACCCAATCCCTTTAACGCCAAGCTCCTGGAAGCTTAGGGCAGCCAGTCAGACCAAGTACCTACGGCATTACAGGTGATCTCTTTGTTCCCCAGGTGAACTTTTACTAGGGAGGTAAGACCTTGTCTGAGACGAGTCCAGACCCAGGGCCCAGCCCCGAAAACCTTCCTGTTTCTGCCCTAGGTCAGGCGGGGCCTTGGGGAGGGCAAGGAGGGGTGCCCCCGGCACAGGTATCTCCCCCTTTCTTCCACCACCAGCTGCCCTGCCTGTCCTGGACTTTGCAACCAGTGGGCGACCCCGCCACCCGCCAGCTCTTGCTGCCTGTGGCTTCGAAGCTGGGCCCCGATGCCCTCGTATACAAACCGGGACGAGCCTGAATGCACTGCGGCTCAGGGAGCAGGCGCAGGGAGAGCGCCTCGCGTTTCAGTCGCCCGGCAGCAGAGCCCCGGCCCTCTTGCGCCCTGTGGCCCCGGTGCTGTGCCTGTGCTGGGCATGGGGCGGGGGCCTGGCGAGGGCTTGCGGCAGCAGAGGGCAGCATGTCCTCCGTGCTCCCTAAGTGCCGGCCACTGTTGTCCTCATCATCCCTGGGCACGGACACTGGCCGCGGAGGTTGGGGGAGGATGGGTCCGGGGGGCTGCCGTCCCCTCAGGCGGGAGAGACTCCCCGGTCTGCCCGATTGGGATGAGGTCCCCATGGGGCCCCTTGCGCCAGGAGGACTCCGACCGCAGTCTCTGCCATGCCTGCCCCCTCCTCCCTGGGGCCTTCGTCTCCTCCACTGGGGCCCGGGTAGACCCAGGCTCCAAGTGTCCGGCGCTGGAAAGGACGCGAGAGGCTGCCCAGCCCAACCGCTCTGTTTCACAGAGGACGGAACCGAGGCCCGAGTGGCACGGGAAGTCGATTTTTGCAGGAGGCCCCGTCTGGTCCCAGAGTGAACCTCCTCCTGGGTGCTACTCACAGTAAAGGATTTCGTAGTCTCCGGAATTCGACACGAGGAACTGGGAGTTTACAGACCAGTCCAGGTGGGTGATGAAGCTGGAGTGGCCCTGGGGGAGGACACGTGGGCTGAGTGGCCTCGCCTGATGAGGCCCGACCCGCCGCGTGGACGGCCGTGACCGCCCCCCACCTCCGCGGGGCCTGAGCACGCTCACCGAGCACCTGCCGACACGCGTGTACTTCCTCCCGTTGTCGCCGACCCCGTAGATATAGATGCAGTTGTCGTGGGAGCCTATGGCTAAGAAGTTCCCATCTACGAAGACATGACGTGTTATGTTTCCATTGTTAAGAATGAACATTCGATCAATTATAAGGGACAGTGCCAGGTGCCATCGTGGATCTAGAAACAATGGCCAGGTTAATGGGCTATTTCAAAAATGAATTATTTCAGAGAGAAAGTTGGCTTTTGAATGACTCCTCAGCACTTCCAGTTTTGAAAATCACACCTGACCGGACCCTTCCCCTTACAAAACTCTCCCCTGGCCGTCCCCACCGGGAGGGGCTGACTCAGGTCCTGAGTGGGGCCCGCAAAGCCCTGCAGGACGTGGCCACAGCATCCCGCACTGTGCCCTGGGGTGTCTCAGGCCTCTGACGTGGCCCCTCCTCCGCCTGCAAGGCCCTTCCTGCCTCACCTCAGGGCACACTGCGCACCCCCCACCCCGCCGCCTGATTCTATAAATAAATCAACAAAATCGACACATCTTTAACTAGATCGACCATGAAAGAGAAGACACAAGTTATCAGAATCAAGAATCAAGGATGAGACTTCACTGCCAAACTCAGAAAAAATAAAGGATTATAAACAAATTTCATGAACAATTTTATGCCAATAAATTAGACAGCTTAGATGAAATGGAAAAAATTGCCAAATCTGACTTAGAGAGAAATGAAAAATTTGAATAGACCTATAAGAAGCAAAGAAATTGAATTAATAATTAAAAACCTTCCCACAAAGAAAAGCCCTGATGATTCATTGAATTCACATGAATTCTACCAAATATTTAATAAAGAAATAACCCTAATCCTTTATAAATGCTTTCAGAAAATGAACAAAGAAGGAGCACTTTCCAATTTCCTCTTTAGGCCAATAACAGTCTAATAACTAAGCCAGAGCAAATCATCACAAGAAAACTAGAGACCAATACCCCCCATAAGATATGGATGCCAAAATCCTTCACAGAGTATTGACAAACAGAATCCAGCAATATAGAAAAAGGATTAGACACGACCACATGAGACTTATACCAGGAGTGCAAAGATGGCTTCACCTCTGAAAATTAATGTAATGCAACATATTAATAAAATAAAGGACAAAACCCACATGATCATGTCAACAGATACAGAAGAAAGCATTTGACACACTCTAACACCCATTCATGATAAAAACTAAACCAATTAAGAACAGAAGGGCACTTCTTCATCATGATAAACAGCATCTAACGTTGCACTAAACGAAAAGCGACTATTTTCCCTGAGACTGGGAGCGAGGCAGGGACCCACTGTGCCCCTCCCGCCCCCATCGCGAGGGAGGTTCTGCAAATGCAGTGAGGGAAAGTGAAGGTGTCCAGGTTCACAAGGAAGAGCGAAACCATCTTTATTTGCAGAGAATGTGCTCCTGCGTGAAGAAAATCCCGAGCATTTTACACACAAAAAAAACACTAATAAAAGAGTTTAGAAAGGTCACAGATATAAGATCCATGTGCAAAAAAATAAATTTTACTTTTCTATACTAGCGACCAACATTCTGAAAATAAAATTAAAAAAAATTCATTCACAATGGCATAAAAAGCAACTTAGGAAAAAATTTAACTAAGGAAATGTAAGACTTTGGCACTGAAAACTATAAAACTTTGCTGATAAAATTAAAGATCTAAATAAGTGGAGAGACAGTCTATGTTCAAGCATTACATGACTCAATCTTTTTTTTTTTTTTAAAGATTTTACTTATTTATTTTTAGAGAGAGGGGAAGGGAGGGAGGAAGAGAGAAGGAGAGAAACATCCATGTGTGGTTGCCTCTGTGTACCCCCTGTTGGGGACCTGGCCCACAGCCCAGGCCTGTGCCCTGACTGGGAATCGAACCCGTGACCCTTTGTTCACAGGTCGGCACTGAGCCCACTGAGCCACACCAGCTGGGGCACAAGTCTCAGTCTTGTAAAGATGGCAATTCTCCCCATATTGATCTATAAGTTCAATGTATTAAATTCTTGGTTGGTTTTTAAAATTAGAACTTGACAAGCTGATTCTAAAATTTATATGAAAATGATAAAGACCTAAATTAGCTAAAGCAGTTTTGAAAAATAACAAAGTTAGAGTGATTATACTATTTAATTTCAAAACTTACTCTAAAATTACAGTAATCAAACCTTGTGGTATTGGTATATGGATAAATATATAGATGAATGAGACAGACTGAGATTCTTGAAGTAAACCTTTATATTTATTGTTAATAGGTTTTTGACAAAAGTGTCAAGATAGTCCAATAGGAAAAGAATTCCATTTTCAACAAATGCTGCTGGAACAACTGGATATCTAAATGCAGAAAAAATAAACTTGGACTCTTACCTCCCACCATACACAAGCATTAACTAAAAATGGACCACAGACCTACCTACGCACAATGGATAAAACAATAACTGTTCTAAAAGGGAAGCACAGGAGAAAACCCTCATGACCTTGACTGATACCATAAGCAGGACTCATAAAAGAAAAAATTGAGAAGCTGGACTTCATCAAAATGAAAGCTTTTGCTTCAAAAGAACCCATTACGAAAACGAAAGGACAAGTCATACAGCGAGAGAAAACATTTGCAAATCCTATGTCTGATAAAGAACTCATACACAGAAGATAGAAAGAGTTCTTAGAACTTAGTAGTAAAGCCCAATTAAAAATGGGCAAAATATCTGGATATGTTATTTCATCCAAGAAGATGTATATAGACATGTGAAAAGATGCGCAACGTCTTTTGATAGCCTTTATAGAGATGTAACTTCAAAGCACATGGGATGGACACATCCCACGTAGGATCTATAGTCTTCATAGAGGTGTAACTCAAAACCACACTCCTCTTGGGGGGCCTCTACTGAGACAGACAAGACTACACAGGTGCTGGAGAAGACGAGGAGAAACTAGAACCTGACGCGTCGGTGGGAATGTAAACTGCGCAGCCACTCTGGAGAGCAGTTGGGCATTTTCTTAGGACGTTAACATAAATTTACCATACAATCCACCAATTCCACAGCTAGGAATTTCCCGAGATAAACAAAAAAACAAATGTCTACAAAAAGTACATATAATGACTGTTCATAGCAGCGCTGCTGATAACAGCCAAAACACCGAAACAATCCAAGTGTCCGTTACCTGAAGAACGGATCGCGTTAAAGTGGTATATCTATGAAATGGAACGCCCTCCGGCAGTTAAAAAGGAATATATAGGGAGCATAATGGTGGAAGGAGACTTGATTTGGGGCGGTGAACACACAATACAGTGCACAGGGGATGTGTTATAGAATTGTACACCTGAAACCTGTGCCATTTTATTAAACTGTCACCCCAATACATTCAATTAAAACAGGAATAACCTACTGATACATGCGCAATAACACGAATTAGCCTCAGAAACATTATTCTAAGAAAAAGAAGCCAGACAGAGGTACCAGGCTACATGTCGTATGATTCCGCTGACATGAAACATGACGTGTCCAGAACAGGCCGTTTATAGACCAGCGTAGCGGATCAGGGGGTGCCCGGGACGGGGGTGCGGGGGGAGGCTGGCTGCCAACGGGCAGGAGCGTCTGGGGCGCTGAAAAGGCTCTAAAATTGGATTGTGGTGATGGCTGCACAGCTCTAGCAATTTCCTGAAAATCAATGAGTTGTACATGTATAATGGGCAAATTATTGTATGTAAATCGTATTTCAATAAGGCTGCTCAAAATGAGTCTCATCTTTTTGAGAGACGGACAGCGATACTGACGGATGAAAGTAGAGAGATGTCTACAAACTGCTTCGAATAACGTGGGGGGCAGCGGGTGGGGCCGCAGGGGAACACGCAGGCCAGGGGTCCGCGACCACCGCAGCTGGCCAGTTCCGCTGTGTGAGACTTTCCATGATACGGAGCTACAAAAACACACATGCGTAGTGACCGATGAGGGAGGGAGAACCCTAAATGCCAGCGATGTGAGTATACAGTTTAAGTCTCACTCTGAGGGGGCTTGTGAAGCTGCTGCTTTAAAGACACCTGCACAGAACGTCATGAACCTGCTGGGATTTCCCAGCGAGCGGCTCGCGTCCTAACCTGGTGAGTACCGCATGACAGACAGCTGTTCGTTCCCGTCCGTGTGCACGGTGACCAGGTCCTTTGTTTCTGTGTCAAACACAAACCACCTGTTGCAAACATGAGACAAAGTAGAATAAGCTGTTTAGTAGGGAATGAAGTAAGACTATTATAGTAACAGCGAGACTATTAACAACTATTAACCTAAGGGCTTAATAAATGCTCTGCATTTACTTAACAAGAATGTTTGTTCCCAGCTTTTATTTAAAGAAAATTTCCCGCATACAAGTACTTCCCAAAAAGGAACAGCACATTGCTACTAATCAAAGCGATTCAGTTTCCGAGGCTAGGAAGGGGTTCCTCGCATTTGGGTTTTGTCACTTACATGTAAAAGGAAAGACGGCCCCGGCAGGGAGGCGGGACCAACACCTCTGCGGGCCTGTGGCCACAGGGAGCAGCACAGGGCCCACTGCCCAGGACCTGGCGGGTGAGGTAGGGCAGGGCCGGGAGGCAGGGGTGGAGCCGCAGGTGGCGGGGCTCCTCCTGTCCCTGTTCTGCCCTCTGGGAATGCTGGCGCGCTGCCAGCAGGGCAAGAGAGATGATGGAGAGAACGAGGGAGGCTCGGGGAAGGGGGAGTTCACCTCTCTGGGCTCAGCTTCCCCAGGGGGAAGACGGGGGCAGGGCCCAGGACCCCTTGCAGGCAGAGCGTTAAATCCGTCAAGGTATAACAGGTGCAGGGCTGTCTGCATCCCCTAACGAGGACGCGGCCCTTGGAAAGTGTCACATGATGGAATGACTGCACTCTCCTACTGTGTGTCCTGGGGTGCTGGCAGTGACTGGGCTCGTGTTCCCAGGACTGGAAAGCCAGGGGGGCCTCCCACTCTTGCAGTTCCCAAGCTGGGTGACACGTTCTACCAGCTTGTCCCCTGAGCTGGCACCACTGTCTTAGCCTTCCATCTGGGGCCCCAGCCCTCCGCACTCAGCGTGCCCGAGGACTTCCTGAAACCTGGACTTGGCTTCTCAGCTTTAATTCCTTGCATCTGTGAGGAGAGGAATCCATTTGCCTCTCCTGTGCTACTTATCCTCACAGAGGCCAGAGCGTAAGGCGCGGAGAGACTCGGCTGCCTCTGCAGAGTCCCGCGCAACTGCCGCAGCGGGAGTTGAGCTTGGCCCCGGGGCCAGAAAGAGGGGACATGCAGGTGGAGGGCAGGGACTGCGCTGCCCGTTCTGTCACGCCCCCAGAGGACCCTGTCCGGGTTCTGAGCGCCCCGCCCTCGTCACCGTGTCCCGCCCCGCCACACAGTCAGCACAGAGAGGACTGTGGCGAGTGGCTGTCCGCCCTTCAGCAGGGCCGCCGAGTTGGAAGCCTCAGCCTTCTCCGAGAGCACGTGAGGAAGGAAAGTGAGTGGCCGTGCAAACATTTTCATGGAGAAGCCTGTTAGATACAAGGCGCCCAGCTCTTAAAATATTGCTGCCGGTGACTCAGACATGGCTGCCCCTTCTTTACACACCCTCTGCAGTCATAACAACAGAATCGCGGTGGCGTGCTTTTGAGAGAGGAAGGACAGGGGGAAATCCCCCAAAATACTTGAATTAAACCATCGCAGGTGCCTCCCCTACGACAAACAGCTGAAATGTCTAGAACCACGATGACGAGAACCCTGGGACTCGCCTGTCGGATGCCCCGGCAGGCGCTCTCTGCACCTTGGCCTGTCCATCGCCAGCGCTGTGTGGCGAGGCAGCTCGTGCTCCCACGGTTTGTAGGGAGAAACCGACGCAGAGAGGCTGTGCGGTGGCTCACAGCTGCACGGCTGTAGGGGCGGGGCTGGAACCACGCGCAGACCTGTCGCCTGGCCGGGCGGAGGCGCTGGGTCAGGGAGCATTCGCTGCATCTAAGCAGGAGGCTCGGGGCCCTGGCAGTTGCTCAAGTCTTGAAAGGGCGGCAAGAACAAGCATTTAAAGATTCTCGGCGCTTGGAAGTGCTCTTTTGCCACTGCTGAGGCGGAGGCGCCTCCTGCTGCCTGCAGACGAGGGCTGGCAGGGCGGCACGTCTCATGGCACTGGACGCAAGTGGGTGCCTCTGTGCACACATGCAGGCATATGTGTGAGTGTGCATGTGTGCACACATGCGCCCAAGTGCACATGTACACGTGAGTGTGTGTGTGCCCACACATGTCAGCGTGCATGCCTGTGCACATGTGCCCACACACTGATGGATGTGTGAGCACATGTGCACATGCATGCACATACATGTCTCTGTGCGCACAAGTTTCTGCATGCACACGTGCATGTGTGCCTGGTGGGCACTCTTCCAGGAGGGCAGGCCACAGCCTTCCCCGGGTTCCCCCAGGCCCAACAGGCGAGGGTCCACTGCCTTTGGTCCCTTTGAGTCTGACCTAGTCAAGGGTGAGTCACCAGACGCCAGGAGGTGCGGCCGAGAGCTGCGCCGCGCCTCACCCGACAACACACACAACACGCCTCTTTCCGTGGCTCGTGAGCCACGCTGCTGCAGACTTACCTCCCGGTCAGTGTTCCGACTGCAACCACAGACCCTGAAGGATGAAAACCAGAAGACTGAGCTGGATCCTAAAACATTTTAAAGGAAGTGTAAATTGATGGCCAGGCACAGCACTGCCGCATAAAACACACAGCACAGCCCAGACCCTTGGGGCCGCGCGGCCCCCCTTAGACATCTCTTTTCTCTGGAGAGAAACACATTTCCCTGCTTGGACCAGGTCGAATTTCCCTCTTTCCGTTTTACATTCTTTCATAGCCACAGTTGTCAGATGACAGACCAAAGCGCAGCCGCTCTTCCCATGGGCCTGGGGAGCCTGTGCAGCGGCTCCCCCGGCCAGCGGTGCACGCGCTGCCTCGACACGGGCCCGCCGCCCCGGCCCAGCAGGCGGGCGCTGGACGGGCGCGGGTGCTCTGCAGCCCCAGGCGGGTCTGAGACGAGGAAGGCGTGTTCCAGGTTTTGGTCTGGCGGCCCCCATACCTGTGCAATGCCAACTGAGACAAGAGGGAACGCGGTTGATGGAAGAGGTAGGAACCGGCTGCAGGTCCCCAGGGGCGGGAGGCAGACTGCTGGTGACAGTGGAAGTGGGCACCAGGGTTTTGGGTGTTAAGGGGACAACAACATGGTCATAGAGGTGGGAGCGACACAGTCGGGGCCCAGCTGGGAAACGCAGGCAGGTTCTCGGCGCCTGAAGCACAGGGTGGGGGAGGGGACGGGGAACGGTGCTGCTTTGCCAGGCTAGGACGGTGGTCACTGGAAACAACGCCGTGGGTGACTTTCTTCCTTTCAACAAAAAGCGTGCGTGACCACATCTGCGTGTCAGACAGGAGGTCACTTGGCAGGGGACAAACTGAAGTGAGAAGGGGCTAATCACAGGAAGACCGGGAAGGGAGCAGCCGTGGAGACGGGGAGAGGAGGCGGCGTGGACACACCCCTGGATGAACTGAACGCCCCCCTGGATGAACTGAACACCAAGAGCCCAGAGGCTGCAGGTGCTGGCTCCGCGGCTGCGATGCAGCCTGCAAAGCGGGAGCTGCAATTAAGCTCGGGCTGCCACCGACACACAGGCAGCAACCGCGGCCACTCGAGGCTCGACCATATCACTCACTTGAGGCTCATAATGTGATCGAGATGAAGACACTGAGGTTCGGGGGGCCCTGTCCAAAGTCACATGGGCAGCGGAGAAAGCGCAAGGGACTGAACCGCAGATGTCTCTGGAGTCCGGTTTGGCACCCCTACCCTCCTGCCACCGGGCGGACGCGGCCACCAGTCTGCTCCCGGCGCGGCTGCTCTGCGGACCGAACCCCGGGGAAGGCTGCCCTGCCTGACTGCCACTGTCCCTGCCGCGGCGGCGGCGGCTGTTGTCAGATCTGCACGAAACCCCTCATGCATTTTTCATCTATGAAGCCCCCACCAGGGGACAGGTACAAGGCAGGACGCCACCTCCTCGGGCCGCGCCACCTCCTCGGGCCGCGCCATGTCTGCTCTCTGAGCAGCAGGGTCACCCCTCCGGCCCCGGCCTCCCCTGCTCAGCTCTACCAGTGACCGGCGCGCCCTGGTCCCTCAGCGACCTTCTCTGCAAGCAGAGGGCAGGAGGGCTGACGCCCAGAGCTTGCACGCTGGGCACGCTGGCAGCCGTGCAGGGTGGCGGGGGGGCTGTGGGGCCTGGCGAGGGGCCGCCCTTACACGGGCTGCTGCGTGTCACCCCGGACGTAAGGCGTGCACTGACCCGCAGCAGTGTGAGCTCTGCGAGACCCTGGGCTGGGAATCAGGCTGCGCTGGGTGCCAACACGGGCTCTGCCATTAACTCAGGGCCCCTGGCAAGTACGGGACGTTTCTGAGCCTCGATTTCCTAGCCGACACCATCAGGGTAAAGAAATCTCCACTCGCAGGGCGGCTGCCAGGAGGGCGGGCAGTGAATTTGCACACGGCACTCGGTGTGCGAACAGCACTCGGCAAGTGCGGGCTCCGCTTTGCCAACGGAGTCCCTTCTGTGAAGGTCACAGGGATGCTGACTTGAACACTTGAGCTCTGCCTTTATCACTGAACTCAAAGGGTAGAGAAAAACTGCGCACTTCTGGAACAGGTTGTACCGCTCGTTCCAAAGGCGCGCGGCGAGCAGAGCGCAGGCTCGAGACCGGGGTTCCTCAGCAGCTAAGCCCATGGCGAGGCCGCCTCGGAGGGGCTCGCCTGCTGCTGAGGAATTCCACGGCAGCCTGCAGACCCGCCGGGGGAGGCCTCCAGGCAGTGTTTAATGAGGCACAATTCAGAGGCGGTAAATTAAGTGACGTTCGTTTTGGGACAATTTTACATCGCTGCTAATTTCATGCAAACAAAGAAATACACATGGTCTAGATGAACTTTTATAAAAGATGGAATGTAACATGTATGTCTACCTCTATTATTTTGTCCCAGACAGGCCGGTGACCGACGGCGTCCCACAGAGTCGCATGTCTGTCATGTCCACAGGTCAGGAACTGAGGTTTGGAGGCATGGACGGCCAGTCCCCAGAGCTCATCGGTGTGACCCTACAAAGAACCAAGACAAAGGGACGCTCTGAAACGCTCCGACCACTGGGCCGGAGCCTGCAAGGGTGACGGGCCGGGCTCGCCGCACGCTTTGCTGTCAGCCTCAGGAGCTCCCCCGCCCCCACCTGGGTCAGGGTAGCAAACCGACACCCCCGAAGCGCGGGGAGGTCATGTCAGCATGAAACACAGGGTCATCTCCTCGCTGTCATGCTTTGCTATGTTCTCACGTTACAGGACGCGGACACGTTTGGTGGGCCTGCTGGAACGCACCTGAGTAATGGCTGCAAAGTCCCCAGAGAGTGTGCCCTGGAGGACGAAGTTTCTGGTCGTGCCTATCAGGATCACGTCGCCTTTCCCTTCGGCCACTGTCCGTATTGGACCAAACTGTTCTGGAATCTGCACGGAAAAGGTAAGATTTAACGAAAATGATTAGCTCCATTGTTCAAAATACTTGCTTATGCGTCACGTCAACAGCGCGCCTCTCCCCCCCACACCATACACACACACATACACACAGAGGAAGGCTCACTGTCTGTGCCTGCTGAGGGAATGATCAAAACCCCACAGCGTGCTTTTAAACCCCGAACGTTGTGTAGACTTAAAAGAACCAGCAAAAGGAAAACTGTGTGGAAAATAACACTGAACAGAGCATTTTTTTCTTGACAAGATTAAAAAGTAGGAACACTCATGGCTACTTCCTCTTTTCCTGCGAGGATTCGCAGGGCAGCAGCAAGTAGCAGTTGGAAAGCGAAGGGCTGGCCACGTCACAAGCCGTAACAAGAGCTCCTAAAATCTACTGAAACAAAAGGGTGAATTCTTTGGCAGCTTCACTCTATTTAGTTCTGAAATCCATTGTCCATGTTGGTAAACACGTGGAATTATCTACGTGTTAAGGAAAAATTTCAAAACAGGCCAGCCGAGACCAATCCGCTATGCTAACAGAAAGAGGCCCCGGCCCCGGGCTTGACTCTGGACCAGTCCCAGGGAGGGAGGCAGCGGCCTCTGCTCTCTAACACTCCCCACCGCCAGCGTCTGCGACCGGAGCGAGCTCCGGAGATGACAGCCCAGGCTAGTGAGGAGGACCGTCGGTACCGAAACGTGGTGAGCAGTTTCTATGGAACCGGATGAGGCAGCGGTGCTTCCGATGGGGTTATAACTCACCAAGGGTACATGTTCAATCAGATGCTGGTCAAATATCATTGCAATGTCAATTAAAACCTTGGTGAAAGAAAAAAATGATTTCCAAGCTCAGAGGAAGGCCTCCCTTCGCTAAGAGCGACAAGCAACAAATCCAAGTTCTCCTACAGCAAAGCACCATGCTGGCTGCTGTCTGACGGAACGTGTTGTGAGCATCTATCTGACCTAGCAGTGGGAACCCTTCCCCCATGTGTCCCCGGGGAGGGGAGACCATCAGCCATCTGATGGATGCTGCCGTCCGTGTGCCCACAACTGGGGCCTGGGGGGGCGGAATTTGGTTTGTGTGTAGAAGGATTCCTGATTCCTTGCTTCTGGCTCCTACTGCTGCGCAGGCTGCTAACCAGGTAATAGGCGGGGAAATAGACACTCAAGGACTCAGAGATGGAGGGAGTGCACCGGCACTCAGCTAGGTACAGAGTAGACACTCTGTAAATATTAGCTCAAAGTGACAATGTCTGCAAAGTAACATGCTGGAAACTGAAGTGAAAAAGGGAGAAAAATTTTAATGATAAATCAAAATGTAGATAATATTCCCTTGGAAAAGTGAGATTGGCTCTATTATAAAAATATTCTAAATGTAAAATATGTTACAATGTCAAATTTTATATATCTAATTCCATTTTTATAGTCGTATTTAAACTGCCTCCATGATTTTAAGAAAATATACTAGTGGGTGGGGCGTTGTTTTGCAAACCGAAAGGACGCCTTTCAGATCCTCGGTCAGGGCAGATGCCTGGGTTGCAATCAGGTCCCCAGCTGGGGACGTGCAAGAGGCAACCGATCAATGTTTTTCTCGCACATCGATATTTCTCTCCCACTCTTTCTCCATCCCTTCCCCCTTCTCTAAATATAAAAACAACAAAATCTTTAAAAAATATTATACCACTCAATAAAATTTTATCTAAACAATTTTCAAAATGGTATGCTAAAGATTTCAAACCAACAAGGAAACTGATTGGCATAACAGTTTAAGGTTAAAACAAATTTCAACAGTGCTGCTTGCTGTCGTACCTCAGTCTTATGAAGCTTCTGATAGTTTCCATTCCAAGAAATGAGCTTTCGGTCCTTTCCTCCTCCTGACACCAGGGTGCCGTCCCTTAACATGCAAAGTGCAAAAATGCCCCCTTCGTGGGCCCCTTGAATGGCGTAGCTTATCCGATTCGTACCTAAACACACCAAGAAAACCACCTTTAGTCATTCAGGAAAAGGCTCCCCGCTGCCCGGCGCAGGCCACTTTGTTTTAAAATTGATGTTGTCCGTTAGAACACCATTGCAGCGTAAATCTACGAAGGGTCTGATTCCCAGCCGTTCACAGAGCAGCAGGCCGACATGGACTGGGTTACTTTACAATGAAGGAAAACTTGCTAATGCAAAGTGCATGTGACAGGGACCCCCGGGAGCATGTGGCTCAGAGCAAGTGAGGACTTGCGTCTCATGAGCTGTGTCTCTGGTTTCAGGCCACACACGCACACACACGTGTATGTACCTACATAAGCTGGAGTTTAGTAGTGATCCTGTGGACTGTATTAATAGACAACTCTACCGAAGTCATGTCTGACGTCTCATAACATCGCCAAAACCAGTGTGAGCTGGGAACGATCACGTGTTACCTTTTCCCCACACCAAGATGTTGCCACTCGAGTCTCCGGTGATGGTGTCCCCGTTTTCAGAAAAAGTCACACAGAGGACAAACTTTGGCTTTTCTTGCTTCTGCAGAATGTGATAAATATAGATACAAATACATTTAGCCAAGACGCCCTTTTGCTTTAGCCGTACTATCTAAACTCGCAGCGATTCCGAGATGGACGGCGTTACCGCCCTGTGTGCCTTTCACGTTAATCTGCTGCCACGTCAGTAAGGCCCCGAGAGTGTCTGCTCTAAGAGGAATTCCCAGTCGTGTGAGGCTGCAGACAGTTCCAGCCAAGGGGGCGCTGGGGGTGGGGGGTCAAGGGGCGGGAGGTGCTGTCATGCGAACAGCGTGAGGGACAGGGTCCGGCACCAGAATAAAGAGGTCCTCTAACTCAGCCTCTGCGCGTAGCTGCAACTGTCGCCACGGAGAAGAGGTGCTGCCCCTGGTGCTCTCACAGGCCCCCAGGCGGCCAGACTAAACCGCACAGGGTATCTTGGCCGTGGGGGGACCGCTCCCCAGGGCCTCCGTCCCTGGCGTTGGCCCACAATACACACGGGGCTGCCCAACTCAGTTAGGGGTCTGGGAACAGCCTTCGTCACTACAGCCCTGCATGCACCCCCACGTGGGCCTGGTAAAAACAAACGAAGGCCGGATGCCGCAGGCCGCAAGCGCACTCGGTGAAAAGCCAGCTACACGTGCCACTGGACTTTACCTCGAACAGCCCCTGCTTCTTAATGAGGCAGTTTCCTTCTAGTGTCCAAAAGTAGAGGTGGGATTTTCCACAGGTGACTATGATGTTGGTGTCCGTGGGGTGGAAATCCACAGCAAACACAGCTTCGTTGGAGCACTGAGCGAGACAGGGGGCTCAGATGGCGCAAGCCTCTTATGACGCCATGAATAAATCACGTGTTTGTCAGGCACCAGCCCTGGGACCCTCCCCGCTAAATTTGTCTTCTGTCGACACGAGGCCTACTACGCTTGCTGCGGCCCCAACCTCCCCTCGCCTGTCTTGCTCACGGGACGGCAGCTGAGGCTGGGGCGGGGCCCTCTCTCCCTGAGGACGTATCGCTGCAGCGGGCACAGAGCAGGCCTGCAGCGGCGTTTGCTGAAGGCGGGGGCGGGGCAGCAGGGGACCCATCAGCAGGACCTGGCTCTCGTCTTCCCGTCACACACCCCCAGCCCTGGCTGAACGGCAGGGCCAGCTGGGTGTGTTCCATGCTGACGGCAGGGCACCCGCCCCCCCACATCTAGTGATGGGAAGCGCTGGGAGGGGCAGGGGATCTGCACTTTGCACAGCCCCCCGCTCCTGGCCCACTTGGGCCGCCGTGTTTGCTCCGGACGTCCCTCCTGGTCTCACTCCTGGGTCTGCACCGCTGGGTCAGCGGCCAAGCCAGGGATTCGGGTCCTTGGGTGACTCTCACTGCCCTTCACCTTGTTATCTGATTCCCACGTTCCCTGGTCTGGTGAATGACTGTCCCTTCTGCTTGATCATTCAATTATACCTTCTTAAACCTGGTAAATACCTGGTAAAAATGGGGAGGTAATAACGTGCCTCCGATTACCTCCCACCTAGCAACACAGCAGGAACTTAACTCCTGACCAGACTACTCGAGGGCAGGGCTCCGGCACGAAAACGGGAGTTAGGGAGTGCGACCGACTAGCACGCAGGGTCTGCATCCCCGTCTGGCAAGAAAGTAAGGGGGCCCCATGCTAATCCCAAAGTGAGGGAGGGAAGACCATCCAAGGCTGGTGGGTGCCAGGACAGAACTGTGAAGTCAGTTCTAGGGAGAGAGAGCCTCGACTTAACAGGAGGAAGACAAGGGGACGCCTGCGGGAAGCTCGCTCATCGCCTGCGCCGAACGGGCGAGGAGGGACCCAGAAGCCACGCCCCTCCCTCCCCAGCGCTCTGAACTCCAGACCCGGGGCTGGCCTCCCCTCTGCCCAGCCAGCTCCCTCCAGGCCCCGGGCTGACAGGGACCGGGTGGCAGGAGCATCTCGGTACCACCGCACCTGCAGCGCCCCCTCGACACGCGAGTGCACTGGAGAGTTTGTTGAATGAAATGGATAAAGTCCCCGAGGGAGCGATGGAGCGGATTACAGGGGTCGTGGCTGTAAAACGTGGAGGGAAACCCCTCGCAGACACGGGGAGGAGAAGACAACGAACGCCTGCCAGGACCTGGGCCTGGCACCCTGGGGGGCTGGGGGATCAGAGCGGTTTCGGGGAGGCATCGCCTGAGGGCTGCCTTGGGATGGGGCCCCCACAGCCCACCGAGAAGCCGGGAAGTGGCCAGCAACCCGGGGAATGAGAAGGCTCCAAACAGAAAAACTGCAAGGCAGCCAGCGCCAGGCTAGACGAGAGACCTTGACGTCGGCCAGCCGCTCCTCCCTCTGCCAGTCCCACACGGACAGCACGTGGTCGTTGGAGTCATCCACAGCGCACAGGTTGCTCCCTCCGTTCTGGAAAAGACGTGCATCCGCCGGGAGATGACACTTGAGAACAAAATAGCTTCAGCGTCATTCAAAATGAACGACAATTTTACTTTTAATCAGGAGTCCGCCACACTTCAAAGAGTATTTACCGACTACCTCTGAGACTTGCTCACTGGAGAGACGGGGTACAGGCGGGCGGGGGGCTGGTGAAGGGGCAGGAGCAGCAGAGGGGCCAACGGGGTGGCTCTTAGCCAGTGGGTCCACTAAAACCAGACTCCAAAGGGGCTGCAGAGCCCCCATCCCCCGCAGGAGCCGGTGCCCACTGCACGCCTGGCACTAATGGGGCGGCTGAAAGGCTGTGCGAGGAGCGAGGGCACTGGGGTGAGGCACGTGCAGCTTGGACGTGAGCACAGACATGGGCCTCGGACATCAGCTTCCGAACGGGCCGCAGGCGCGGTTGACGGGGTAGATCTGGGGAATGGCAGCCTCATCCAGGGGAGGCCCGGGAGACCATAGGGCCTGTCCAGCTCCCGTTAGAGACAGGGAGCCAGCCCCTGTGAGGGCGGCAGGGGCCTGCTGGGGCCCCCTGGGGAGGGGCAGGTGAAAGGCGAGGCCAGCGCAGGCAAACTGCCTCCTTGAACCTGAAGACATGGTTCCCGAAACATGGAACCTGAAGACCACCTGCCGCAGTCTCCTGCCAGCAGCGCGTCTGCGCGGCTGGAGCGGCCTGGCTGGAAGTGGTGGCCCCTGACTGAGGGGCAGGGAAGCGGGCAGGCTTCAGAGTCGGACCTGCACACAGCTGGGCAGGGCCCGCGCATCGGTGCGCTGTGTCCTCGGCCTGAGCCGGCCCTCTGCTCCCTGTGGACAATGCACCCCGCGGCCCCCCAACCCTCCTGGCCCCCCGCCCCCGGCTCAGACTTACCGATTTAGAGAAGGCAATGCAGGTGACGGCGCGGTCAAAAAACCCAGTCCCGATGACGTGCAGGGTATTCAACGTCACGGAATCCCAGATGCGCACGTGCGGGGGCAGTTGCTGCGGAGGAAAAACACGCAAAGCCACCCGTTGGGACGGTGACACAAATTGATCTTTGAAGCAACAAGATTACTTCACCTTTGTCGAAACGAAAGGTCTTTTTCTGCATTTGCGAGTTCTGTCTTTTAACACAAAGGAAAGATTCTCCACGTCCTCAGGAGGCCACGACCCTGGGCCAAGGGAGCCTCAGGAGAGGCCCGCCGAGCTGCAAGTTCTGAACAGCCCACTCTCGGTCCCTCAGGAACTGATATCCTAATTTTACATCTGGACACGTCCGAACGTTAAAAATGAGAAAAGCCAAGGGGAAAGGGAGTCTCGGGCCAGAGTCAGTCTACGAGGTTCATGTGGTTACGCAGGGGTAAGTGCGTGAGAATTCATCCAGGCGGTCAGCGCCCGGCCGTTTTACGGCTCCTCGGGCCCCACGGGAGCACGGCGGGCAGTCAGCTGTGCACAAACACAGCTCAGAATCGCTATGATTTAGTTCAACCCCCTCTCAATGGTGTTCCAAGGTGAGTCCTACTATTTTCTTCCTCAACAGAAAAAAAGCACTCCAAGAGTCAGCAGACCTGCACCAAGCAGACAGAGCCAGCCTCCAGTTTGGGCTTTGCCCGGAGGAGCTGGGCGGCTGGGGACAGTCACGTGACCTCTCCTGTTCCTTGGTGAAAGCAGTGGCTCAGGTAGATTCCACATTTTCACTGGCTGGAAAATTCTGATTGAGTTCAATGACAGAAACTGAAATACCCTTTTAATCCACTAGAGGGAGGAGCCGATGGCTCACTACCGACTTCCAAGGGCTTTTAAGGTCACTTAACATCAGAAAAGGAAAGGAAAGAAAAGAAAAGAAAAGAAAAGAAAAGAAAAGAAAAGAAAAGAAAAGAAAAGATGACTCTGTCCCACTTATGTATATTTACATAACAGTAGTCTGTTCCTGTAGCTTCTTTTCAAGTGTAGAATTTCAATGGAAAATAGCATAAAGTTATACTTTAAAAGTTGATATTATTGAAATATTTTCTGACAAATGGTAGCACTCTTGCTTGCTGGAAGAAAACATATTGATAAAAATGGAAGTAGTTCATGTAATTAATTTCAGATCACATATTGTTCAGATCAGTAATATGCTATACTGAGGTACGTATCAAAAAAGTGACATGGAGTTTTGGGTATGACGTGACAATGACCACATCTTGTCCTAAATGAGGAACTGGGAGCCAGTTTTGAATTGTTTTTTATTTGTTAAATTCCACCAGTTCCCCCTCAGATTCCTTCGAACACCAGTTAGGGCCTCCCTGAAGCGCCGACGGAACATGCGCTAAAGCCCCGCGGCCTCGGCGGATCACACGCAGACCCGCTCCGCAGGCCAAGGGCCAGTGACAGGGTCGCGGAGGCGGGGCCTGAAATCGCTGGGGAGGCAACAGGCCCACGTTCAAATAATTATTCATTACGATTTTACTTTAGTTATTAAATGTGCACTTCATATTTTAATGTTATCATGCACGTAAATATCTTAATTAATAAACTCTTATGCAAGACGTTATTTAAAAACTGGCTGAAATGAAGGTGACCGCAAAGGGTTTTTAAGATCGCTGTAAAAATTTCAATTTCCAATAAAAGACAAACGAGGGATTAAGACGTATTCGGGTGCTTAACATCTAAGCAGGCTTGTGCAGCAGCAAAACGTTCTGTTGTGTGACCAGTGTGTGACAAAAACACGGAGCGATGACGTGACTCACTTTGCCGTCCTTGGACGTGCCCGCGACCTGTCCCGTCGCTATCGTGATCTTATCGGGATGAACCGCGAGGCTAAAAAAAAACAGTCATGACAAAGCTGCTCTTTAAGGGCAAATTTTATTTTTTCCTTAATCACATATAATCTAGTTAACAATTTAAATATAAGACAGGTATAATGCCTAACTTCTTACAGACTCGCAGTAAATTCTCTGAGCACCCAGATGACTTTAGTCAATTAGTGTTTATTTCATTTCATCTTAATTCCTACGTCTCCAGAGAATTTTCAACTCAAGGAAAAAAGCATTTTTTTTTTTAGCTTGGAAAACACCGTTTCAATCTGAGAACCACCTAATTAGTCTGCAAGCTTAATTAAGAAGTCATTTTGAGTATATCAGATAGCAAAGACATCCTAGAAATATGTAAACCCATCCTTCCATCCATCCATCCATCCGTTCATCCATCCGTCCATCCTTCTATGATACAAAAAACCCCACCAAAAGCTATGAACAAATTATAGGAGCAGCAGACCCAGCCATAAACATGAGGTAAGACATTTTAATTTTTATTTAAAAAAAAAAAAGACCCAAATTAGAAGCTGTTAGCATGAGATGCCTTAAGAAGGCTTCTAACCAGGGGTCTGTTGGAGCTACTGGTCCAGGTAAGGCGGTTGGTTGAGATCATGTGTCACAAAGATGGAAAACTAAAGAGGTGCCTTAGAGCCAGGGGGCCAGTCGACAGCACAGAACATGGGGAAGAGCTTTCCCACGGCCCCACCTTCTCATCGGCTCCCTTTGCTTCTCCTGAGGGACGTCCCGACACTGAGCCCTTTCTGCCAACGGTGCTTCGCGGGTGCAGCCGAGCCGGAGCCCGGGGACTCACCACTTCACGTCGTCGTTGTGGCCGGCGTAATGCCTTTGGAGCTGCTCCTCCACGTTGTACAGCACGACCACGGATGCGATGAAATACACCGTCTCGCCCGTCGGGAGCAAGTACAGGTTGTTCCGGCAGTCTCGGCCCCTGTACCCGTAGCTTCACGTGTGTCAAGGCAAAACGTTTTTCCCTTTGAAGAGCTGACAGAGCATCCGCTTTATTCAACAGGCAATAAGATTCAACAGGCAATGCAACTCTATATGTGACTATTACTATCAGTGTCACAAACTCAGATAACCTTGAATTGTACAATAAATCGTGCCAATACTCCCGACTCCCTAGGTAGGCAGGCGGTCAAGTTGGAAATGGCCACTGATTTAATGGGAGAGCCTATTTTTAATACGATGTTGTGGCTTTTTAGACAGTCTGTCTTATATTTTGAAAGATGAATTTTTTAGCTTGATCAAAAATGGTAATCTACTATTTTATTTGCTAAAGGGAACTAGGTCAGATATTCACGACATCATTGGGAGATGAACTCTTCAATTTCGCTGATCAATCCTGGACCTGGGAAGCAGCAGCAGGGGCAGTTTTTCTGTTGTTGCTCTTGAGCTGGTGGGATTCCACGAGGATGCCTGAGTTCCGCGCACCTGCCCTGCCTTTAAGTTTGGCCAAGCTGCCGTTCTGGAAGGCTGACGACCATGACGCTCTGCTAACCGCACCACCTGACGCTAGAATTAAAATCACCTAAAGCTGTCTTTTGACACTACTTCCACAAGCATGCTGGACTATTTTGCACCAAAATTTCCCTTTCCTTTCTGCCGCCTCTCTTATGTAACGTTTATCTCCGGTTACCGCGCCTGCTCAGACCTCCTGAACTATCACAAGAGCCACCAGTGTGTTCACTTGCATTTCCCTCTTGAACCTTTGATCTCCTAAGGGCGAGGGCCTGGCTCAGGAACGGGAATTAGAAGGAGTGACAGGACCAATGGAGTCTGTTATGTGTCACCTCTTCATGTTATTGTCGTCTTGAGACACAAACTTACAACTGGGAACTGAAATGGCCATTATGCTGCGGGTCAAAGAGAGAGCCTCAGCCTGGTTCTAGAATCACGATTGGGAATTTAATCAAATCTCTATTCTAGTTTGTGTCCTTTGTAGCTTGTATGGAAAACAAAATATATCTGAAAATGAGAAGTGACTATTGTTCCAAATATTAAGTAGTGTGGTTAACAATCCTATTCCAGAAAAAGCTTTTAGCTTTGATAATTCCTTATGTTTTAGAATATTTTCAAAAAATTTAAGATACTGATAATTGACTTTAACACCTCAGTTATTAAGTCCATTATACACTTGTTTTTTTATTGTAATCTTGGAGCTAAATCTTTTACATTATAAAAGTACTTGTAAAAGGTGCAAACGACACACATACACACACACACACACACACACACACACACGAGTATATAAAAGTTAAAAAAATTAGGTCCTTGCTCCAACCACTCCCAGGTCCTTGGGATAACTACCTGTTAAGATTTTGGCGTGTGCACACTTCCAAACCTTGAAAACTTCGGGAGCAAAACCTGTGATCTTGCATGTGAAAAAATAATCTCGCAAAAAATACCACTTATTTGGAGCAAAGACCAGTTTTATATTTTCTAAAATGTAAACAGGGAGTAGGTTGAACAAATGTGTTTCGAATAATGCTTTCCACATCTGATATCACCAATCTAACAATTGACTTAAAGAGGAACTGAGTCACTTCACTTCCATGTGCTTAAATAAATCCCAAAACAGTTGCAGGGGACACTTATGACAGCTGAATCTGAAAAAATAAAAAATACATTTTCGTACAGATGATAATTCTAAAAAATTTCCAAAGCATATGTCTCCCTAATTTCAAATACAGTAGCAATTCTTCTAAACCTACTGCACATAATTTGCATTCAGGGCTTTGCATTAAACTGGTACTCAATAAATATGTGTTTGAGGGTGAATTAAGGATTTTTTGCTCTGTCTTAAAATCTGCATGGCCTGAGAGGTGGTCTTTGCAGGCTTCCTCCAAATTAAATAAAATAGTAAAGTGAAGCAGAAGTGGACTACGAGTAAAAAGCTAAAGTAAAATCAAATGAAACAGAAAAGTCCACACGGAAGTCAGCCTTTCCTGGCTCCGCTGCCTTGCCCTCCAGCGCGTTCTCCTCGGGAGCGTCTGCACTTTCCAAATCTCCTGCAGAGGCTCCGGGCGCCCCGTTTCAAGAACAGCGGCACGCGCTGGCTCAGACTCTTGTGGCCTAGGTTGTGGGGTGGGGAGAGCTTTTTATATTTTCAAAGTGTTAGCACATCTACGCTACATGGGGATTTCGTGCAGTACAGGGGTGTTCACTGCTCCCGCCCCCTCGGCGGGGCCGCGCTAACCCGAAGTGCGGCTGCTGCATCCCTGCTGGGTTTGGGGCGGCGGGGGTCCATGTCCTTCCTTCCAGGGTGTCGCTTTCTTCCTTTCAGTTTAGAAACTTTCTGCCATAGTTTCAATTTCTGATATGCTCACTTTCTCACTCATTAATTCAGTACTTCCTGCCATAGTTTCAATTTCTGATATTTGCACTTTCTCACTCATAAATTCAGTACTTTCGCTGCTGTCTGCGTATACAGTGTAAAGCTCCTGGCTCTTCCCCCGACCCCGAAGAGCTAAGTGTGGATGGCTACTGTTAGAAACAGTCAGCACATCCATTTTCATTAGAATCTCAAAGTCTACCCATTGTGATTAGTTTTGCTAAACTTGCTTTTCAAAAAGCTTTTAACTAATTTCACTCTGTCAGAGAAATTAAAATCCAGGCCAGACACAAGTCATGCATTTTCCTACAACTCTCCAAAAAATAAAAAATCATTCAGAGAGCCACAGAGCATGTTCGTCCTCTCTTTCCAGGAAGACAATGTCTATGTGTTTGAGTGAGGACCACAAATATCCCGTCAGGAGGGACAAGCCAGTGTCTGCCACAGTCAGTAGCTCTTAGGGAGCTCCTTTGCTAATCCTCTGCATGCTGATGTATAGCTGATTTTGTTAAATTATTTTTTTAAGTGGGAGGATTTTTTTTTTTAGAAGCTTAAGAGGACTTAAGTTTTACGAGCTTCTATAGTTAAACACCGAGCCGGAAGCCAGCGTCGGCTGAGGGCCCCACGGAGGCCTGATCGATGGACGGAGGATACACCCACTCCAGCTTCAGCCTCTTGGCGGGAAGGTCCGCCCTGGCCTCCAGGATGTAGGAGTCCACCTGGTCTCTGGGCAGGTACATGGTGACCGGGCGTCCGCGGAGGAACATCTTCACGTACCCCTCGTCTGCGAAAGGAACGGAGAGGCGTGAGCCGCTGGGCGCCCCGCATGCGGCAGGTGGGTGCTCTTTCTGCAGCCCTTTCGGTGGAGAAGTGCGCCCTTTGCCCTTTATTGTGACTTCTAGCGAATGTCTAATTTCACCTCGTGTGCTTTTCACATTCTGCTTAAGGACATAAAATATAAAAGAAGCTGTAAAAAACAGGAAAGCACTAGATTCCATTAGTTTTTCATGAGAGGCTTTGGGGCTTCTATTTTCCTTATCAGAAGGGGAAAAAAATGGTGCCCCTCCCAAATTACAGTGAACACAAGAAATCCCCTGAAACATTTTACTGAGTTGAATGTAAATATAATTTTGATATCAAAATCCACAAGATATCCCTTCAGCATTTAAATTGCCTTGTTACATTGGAAGGTAAAAATGTCTTTTTATGTGCCTTTTACACTGGACCCCCCAAATCAGCAGCCGCGCACGCCCAGTCGCGTGCGGAAAGGAAGGCGCGCCAAGGGAAGCTGAAGCGGGGCACAGAAGGGCACAGGGCCCACTGCGGGGACACTGGGAAGTAAAACTTTATAACGCAAATGTTTTCATGATAAAATAACTTCTGATGTTTTAATAAATTGTGGGGACAAGGGTAAAACCCAGTAATATGTCAACATGAGGTAACTCTGGACTTTGAAAAAGAAACGTGGGACGTTCTGGCCAGTGTTTCCGGGACAGGAGAAGACCAGAGAAAATCCCGGTGAGCTCCTGCTGAGCGCGGTTCAGCACGCCCGGCGCCCGGCGCCCGGCGCCTCGCTGCGGGTCACAGGCCCAGGCCCTGGCCCTCGTGGCCTTGCAGTAACTGGGCAGCTGGGACAAGGGAGGTCTGGGCGTCACTCCAGAGAAGCATCACCCGCGGAAGGAGAGTGGTGAGGAAATGCCATGAAATCACTACAGCGCCGTTAGGCACCATAACTACAAATTAGCTTTGTAAGTCTCATTCCTACGGGCTCCAAACGGTGCCTCATGCAGCGCCGCCCACACAGCAGGAGGCCTCCTCAGTCTGCTACCGTGCGGCGCACGCTCCAGGCCTCAGACGCATGCAGGTGACACACCCTCCACTCTGCAAGGGAAGCGGAGCTGCGGGATCTAATGCTACGCACGCACGCACGCACCCTGCACAGCGTGCCAGTCGCCGGGGTCTGGGCTCCCTCCTCCCCAGCTCCACTGGAGGCCCCGTCACCGCAGACTCTCTCATGGGTCCCTTAGGCCATCGTATATTCTGCTGCCAAACCCATTAAGGCCCAAACTGGATTTCACTGAGACTCCACCCAAAACCCTGCACCCGTCTCTTGCTGGAAGCCGAGGTCTAAATGCCCGGCCCAACCACCCAGCGCACGTGGGTCCTCCTCTCTGGCTGGCAGCATCTCTCTGCCACCCTACACATCCACTGCTCTGGGCCCCTACCCAGGCTCCTCTCCTGGCCTCAAACCTCCTCCCTTCTGCATCCCTCACCCAGATCTAAGGGCATCAGACTACGTGGCTCCCTAGAAACCCAGAAGCGCCCAGCAGACTGACCGGTGTGAAGGGAGGGCCGCTGTGACAGAGCTTAGAGCTGACTCGGGGCACCGCCGCCCACCCCCAGGAAGGGCGGAACCACAGACTGCGGGTTAGGAGTAGAGGGGACGCAGTGCCACTCCTGCAGCGCACTCGAAGCCCGTCTGGCTGGATTTAGTCAATGGACGTGAATTTAATCAAAGTGCCTCTACTTGCGTGTACTGCGGTTAGGTGTTCACAAAGTCCTCCCGACTGAAGCTTCCTCATCGCCCAAATCTGAATGATGGATTTAGCCTTGGCATGGTTTTGTGCTTGTAACTCAGACATTCTACATCTAAAACCAAAATGCAGCGAGGGAAAGCCATGTTTTTTTCAGGCGTGTTAGGATAACAGCACACAGCCACCAAACTCAGAGGCGCCAGGGGACGAGGCCAGCAGCGGTGCAGGAGACCACGTCAAACAGTGGACATCCAGGCTTGTCCTATAGCTCTCTTAAGGTTTACACAGACTTTTTTTTTTTTGAAAGTTCCTGTGATCGGCCAATAATCAATCGAGATCCAAATGACAGCTACTTATTAAAACCCATCCAAGTCAATGCTCAGTGGCTTAACTTCAATCCAAGTGGTTTGCATCACAAAAACATTTTCATACAAGGAGAAAACCTGTTTGCCTGTATGAAAGAAGTTTCTGGAGCCTGGGCCACAGCTTTGCTCAGAGAGCTATGAGGTTTCCGAGAGGCGGCCTACCTTTGCAGTGTGTCACCCGGCGCTTCCCTTGAGATTTCGGAGACAGAGACAGAAGGGCTAGATAAAGAGACGTGGAGCGCTGCAGGGGCCTGCCTGCCTGCCGCGGGCGCGCCCTAGCTCTCGGTGGCCGGCGCCACCGGCCCCTGGCACGAAGGCCTGGACACGTGCCGGGGAATCCGACAAGCAAGCCTAGCTCCGCAGGCCTGTGGCCATTAATTGTCGGTAACTTCCTGCTTCCTGAAAACGAAATAGACACTAAAGCACTTGCTGTAAACCCCAAACTCTGACTTCTTTGTTTCAATTCTGAACTAAAGGAAAAACCTGGGAAAACTAAAATTAAGTGAATGGACTTAATCAACGACATACTTGTCAATTCTTTTTGCACTTTACATGCGCTTTTAAATAAAGCTGATGTTCTAAAAATAGCTTCTACCTGAGTATGAAATGTGTTACAAAAAGATCTACGGAAAGGTCTATGTGAACTATTAGTTTGCAGGTTAGGAGATCAAAGACAGAAAAAGAAAAAAAGTTACTTTTAGGCAAATTATAACTTGCTGCATCAGAAACTTTACTTTTCAGAGAAATGCAAATATTGACGGCAGGAGCCTGTGAGTGGGACTCACAGAGGCAGCGGAGGCCTGTTAACCTAGAAATCCCTAGCGGGGGTGCCCAACCCGTGGCCCGCAGGCCGCAGGCAGCCCAGGATGGCTGTTAACGTGGCCCAACACGAAATCATAAATTTACTTAAAACATTAATAGATTTTTTTTTGTGTGATTACGTGTTGCAATGAATTTAATGTGTGGCCCAAGACAACTCTTCCTCCAGTGTGGCCTGGAGACGCCAGAAGGCGGTCACCCCTACGGCATTGGTAGTGGCCTGTCCCTTCCTCGTGGTCGTAGCTTGAATCGGTTTTTAGAAGGGGCCAGCAAAGGGTTAGTTTTTACAACCGTTTTACGGGCGGTCTCTCTGATCTGAGCAGCAGGCTCCCGGGGACAGGCAGACAGTCCGTCCCCAAAGTTCTGTGTGTCGAGAGCTGGCCCCCGGAATAGCTGCTTCTTGTCTGCGCCCCGAGTCCCAGGGAGGTGAGTGAGGGGCACCCGCACAAAGGTCGCATCGGACTTACCCGCGCTGAAGACGGGCTCCTTGGGTTTGCTGTGGAGAAAAGAGAACCAGGTTTTAAAGGCAGGCTGATCGCATGCACCGGAGACCCCACGGTGGCTAGCTGGTTTGTCACACGGGTGCCACGTGAGTGACACACGTTAACAAGAAGAGCAGAACCCTGCGGCTGCGAGGAGGAACAGCTGTGAGTCAGTGTCCAGAGCCGGGCGCAGGGGCTGCGGCCCCGCTGCACCCCCGAGGTGGCGCTGGCTCCCTCTGATCGAGCGCATGTTGGAGGAGGAGAGAGCCCGGCTCATCAAGATGGAACCTCCCTGCATTCGGAAAACGGCTCGGTTTCTTCCCCACGCTCTTCTGACAGGCTGTTTAAAGAACGTAGGTAAAGCTAAAGGGTTCCAGACAGAGGGTGCTATGGAAGGGAATAGGAAAGAATGGGGGCATCTCATCAGAGATGGGGGGACCCCTGTGGACTTCGGCCAGGCGGAGACCACCCCCTAACCACAGCGTGGAAGCCAAACCCCAAAGCCTTCATGGTCAGGCCACAGGTGGACTGAGGCCATGCCCAGAGACGAGCTTTCGACAGGACAAGCCTGCAGCAGGAGCCCGCAGGCCGGAGGGCACAGCTCCCCCGTGACCGCACCCAGTGGGGACGCCCCACGCTGGACCAGGAAGGGGCGCTCTGGTGGGGCCAGAAGTGTGGGCCCCGTCCGGACACGTAGCTAGTGCTTGACCCCGAGTCTGTGCGGCTCCAGCGCCCACGCTGTCCTCATGGGGCCACCGGCTTCCCAAGTGGCCTCCCACTCTCTGACGTGGAACAGACGTGGATAAAGGGACCTGCGCCTGAGGGGCACGAGGAACAGGAGCCTGCGGAGGGACGGGAACCTCACAGGTTCTTTGCGCACATTTTAAAAAATACTCCTGGGCAGGCTTCAACCTAGCACCCCTTCTCGCCTTCATTTTAAACCTGAAATACGTGGAGAGACGCCACCCTCAGTCCCACGATGTGGTAAGCGACGCCCCGGATGTCCGGGTGATTTCGCGCAGCCCGCGGGGGCCTGCTGATGCTGCAGCAGCGGCGGTGCCGCGGTCACGTGTGCTTCCCGTAGCTGCGCCAGTCAGGGGCTGCTCCCTGCGCTGACCTCTGGTCACTGGAAACGGCGCCCTGGCATTGGCTTACTGAGGACCTACTGACCCCTTTGCACTTCCGCCCGGAGTCCCTGGGCTCAGCCGCCCTGTCCCTGCCGTCCCCCACACCTGCCAGGAGCTCCTGTGTTGGCTCCGCTTCAGCCACCCCGCTGTTGGGGCCCCTGCCAGCTCTCCCACTCCTCCCCCAGGGGTGGTGACCACAGCCTGGCACCTGTGCAAGGCCCGCAGTGGGGACGATCTCTCTTGGTTCTCTGCTCTGCCCTCAGATGACCGTGGGCCTGTGGGCCTGGGCCCCGGGCAGGGCGACTCTCAGCACCTGCCCTGCTGGCGCCTCGTCCCAAGTGCTCTGTGGCAACGGGGGGCGTGCGGAGGCGCCCCTGTGCCCGGGGCTCCGGGAACTCTAAGGCCTACACGCGGCCCTTCCAGACTCCCCGAGCTTTCCGCCGCTCGCCCGTCCTCCTGCAGCTTGGCCGGAGACAGGCAGCCTCGGGGCGGGTCTCCCTAAGCCCGGGCTTGTTGCTTTTGGACTTCAGTTCATCACACTGCTTGGTTGGTTTAAAACAGCTACGATTTTGTAGACCGCCTGGCTTGTTCTCGTTGCGGGGGCAGGTGGGGAGTGACATGCGTGTGATTTTCTAAGTGGGAGCATAAGCCTTTGCTCCACATTCCCTGTATTATTAGATTCGTGGGCAGGGCAAGGGCACCTGAGGAGGAAAGCTACAGAGGAGACCGCAAGGCACACACCGCAGAGACGCGATGCCAGGGACATCTGATCATAGAAGGAGAAAGACACGAAGCCACCAACATGGAAGTGAGTTACCCAGCACCTGTGCTGGGACACAGCACGGGCAACTGTGTCTTACATTCTCCTTAGAAAGAAAAGTCTGCAGGGGGACCCGGATGCCAAGAGCCAGCAGCCCGTGGGCTTCCGAAGCTGAGGCTGTGCGAGAGGAGGGGAAAAGGCCTCCACTTCCGACCAGAAAACACGGCCGCGGGCACCAGGTCAGGTCACCCAGACGGGTGCCCGGCGGCTCTAAAGTGCTCACGTTGCTTAACGCTCACTCTAAACGACGCATCATTTCATCTACTGTATTTAAAAACACACTATGCAGCTATTGCAATGTTGCATTTAGAACGTTACATTTTTATAGGAAAAAAATACTGTGTTTACTCTAGCATCCAATATCCCCGCCATTGCACCAAGGGATAGTTCCACACACGTGTACAAGTCTTACAAAGGCAGGCTGACGACATGACAACGAGTCTTCCCAACCAGAGGAGGGCAGACCTACAGGACGGGCGAGGGTAACAACGACCCACCGTTAAAGACACGGTGACCTCTAGTCACAATCGGTGAGCCGGAGCCGTGCCCCAGACACGTGTCCCCTCCAGAACTCGACCTCAGCAGAGGTGAGCAGGCTGTGCATGCGCCTGGTAGGGTGCCTTTCGGGGGTCGCTGACTTGTCTCCGACTCCCCAGGGCGAGCGTGGTGGCAAGGTCCGGCAGCCAGGGTGGGCTTCCGTGCGGGTGGGGGCTAAGCTCTGGGGCCCCAGGAGACTCCGCCCGTCCCTCTCTGAGTGAGGAGCCGGTACAGGTGTCGCCAGGCTGCGTCCCTGCGTGGGAAGCAAGCCCAGAGGAGGAGGAGGATCCCCCCCCCGGCAAGCACACCCTCCTCCTGGCCATTCTGACACTAGGCTGTGGCCAGTATCTGCAGAGTGAACAGCGCTGCAACCCGGGAGGTTTTCACAGCTGTGTTTTGGCAGGAGGCTGGCTGCAGGAGCTTGGCTTATGCTCCCTGGAGCTGGTGGGTTCGGCAGACTCCCCCAAGCCTCTTGCAAGCACTAAGCAGGAGCCGGTAGCTTGGCGCCCTCACCGGACCGGCGGCTGCATCTGGAGGCAGCAGGAGAACACCATGCAGCCGGACCAGGGACAACGCCCGCCCTCACACCCGCGAAGCAGCGACAGCCATCTAAGTCGCGCGTTACCAAACCCCGCAAACGGTCGCGGTGGCCTTGGGCGCAGGGACTGCCCCACTGCGGCTGGCTTTCCTTCTGTCTGATGGAGCACACACGTGCCGCAGTGCCGACTGGCTGTTTATAGCGTGTCTGGGCCCCACCTCCCAGAGCGCCCACTGCCCTCCCCCTCCGCGTGGGACTGCGCCGCTCCACTGCGTCCGTGACCTCGTTTACCCCAAGTTGCCAAAGGGGGGCTCAGGGGCCTGGCCCTGACATGTGGGTCACTTATGCGACAGGGATTCAGAGCAGAGTTGAGGGGGGCCAAATGCTGTTCAGCAGAGATACTTGCTTTTGAAAATGACTGATAAGGGTCAACCAAGGAGACCACTGTGAAGTCACGCATCTAATTTCCCAGCGTCCTTGTCGTCTACAAAAACCTTGGCCCTCAGCGCACATTCCATGACTCCTTTTGAAAAGGATTTCACATGAAGAAATAAAACTCCTGCTGGAAGTTGAAATGCTCTATTATGTCAGTGAAGATTCCTTACATAAATTTCTCCAAGTGGCTTTTTACTAGAAATAGGGTCATTTAGGAGACACCTATTTGAAATGTTTAGAAGCCACTGGAGACTCTACTGGGGACAGAAATTGCCGTGTCGTAGACCTTTCGGGCCAGTGCCTCCGCACACCGTGGCAGGAGCAGTGCAGACACTGGGTCGGCTAACCCGCGCGCCGAGTGGGCAAGTCGCTCCACCGCCACAAGCTCTGGCTCCCTTCAGCCGCGGACACCAAGCGGGGACGCACCACTGAGAGGCACGGGGCTCTGGGAGCACCGACTAAGCCGTGTGACAAAGTGCCCAGGGCTGTGCTATCAATACTACTTTCCTCTTCCTAATTTCACTGACGAGAGTCTGTACGTATTTCTGGGCTTGTCACCTAACAGCCTCAGAACTAAAACAACTTAAAGAATATTGGCACTTATTATTTGAACATTTAAAGGATAAGTGACCCCAGGGCTGAAGAATGAAACAATCTCTTCAATTAAAAAAAAAAAGGGGGGGTCTTATTTGAATCATTTGATTTCCAGTGCAGTATGTTTCAGAATCTAAACTGTAGTGTTAAAATCATCCACCAATAGGTGGTACTGTTTACATACTTCTTAAATGGTTTTAAATTAAACAGATAACAGCCTTCCATTCTTTCAATGACTGTTTATCGGGCAGTTCCTGCGCGCCAGGCGCTGTACGAAATGCTAGAGGCACAAAGAGTAAGAAGCGCCACGGCGTCTCCCACCCTGAGCTCAGGGAGGGCAGGGCAGCAGGTGGGGGGTGCGGGGTGGGTGTGGGGAAGGACTCCCAGGTCCAGACCAAGCGAACGGGCAAGGATAGGGCCACCTGCTTCACCCTGGAGGGCCAGGGCAGCCCCCCAGAGAAGGGGGCATCCCACGCTGGGCCTGGAAGCGCAAGCTGGAGTCCTCAGGCACAGCCAACCTCCCTCCCCACCGGATTTCCAGGCACACACACGTGTCACTCAGGAGAAAGGGAAAACTCTCCACTTGCTGCGTGCCAGGAGGTGTATAATAATTCATGAAGCTATGCATTTGTATGTTCTTTTGCATCTGTGTTTGATTTTATAATACTTTTTTTCTAAATATGCTATCTTCTTAGGTTTGCATTTTTTAAAGATTTTATTTATTTTTAGAGAGAGGGGAGGGGAGGGAGAGAAACATCAAAGTGTGGTTGCCTCTTGAGCACCCCCTACTGGGGACCTGGCCCACAACCCAAGCCTGTGCCCTGGCTTGGAACTGATCCAGCGACCATTTGGTTCGCAGGCCGGCACTCAGTCCACTGAGCCACACCAGCCAGGGCTGCACTTCTTTAAGACTGAGTTGATCCTCTTTTCGTTAGTTAATTGGCATTTATATTTCTCATTGAA